ATAATTATCATATACAAGGATCAATCGATACACATATTTGATGTATTATTTCAACCGTCATAATCAATGACATATTCAATATGATTAGCTTCGATTTTCCCTAATCAACATGCAGTGTCTACAACAATCAAGACTATCCTCCACTGATAGCCTAAAGCAGTTATTTCTAAACAAATAATAAATGCATCAACAGATAAAATATCAACAATTTCATTGGTGAGTGATTAAATTATCCAACTCCACCATTCAACTTTATAATTCTCCAATCTCATAATCTCCAACTCAATTTCATATTCCCACAAATTAATTATTCAAATTAATTTATCACATAACTAGGGCATTTTTTCCTAATTTACAATATCAACCCTAAGGTTCATTTTCATCGATAATACAACAATAATCCCATTTCTTAATGTCTTACACACATATGGGTTTTATTATTTGAAAACCCCTTTTTTATAAATTACACAACAACCCCAACTTTTTCCAAAATTACCTAATATCACCAACTAATCAAAATGACCAAAATTAAAGACAAAACTCATAAGATGGAGTAGAGTATCCCTACCTCGAAATTTGAAGCCCAAAGAAGTAGATGAGGAAAAACCAAAGTGCTCCAAATCCACTATTGTTCAGATTAAAACAAAGCCCTCGCGACCTTCTACCTTTCTTACAAAGAACTTATGGTAGAAACACACTAAAAAAAGATAAAACCCTAGAGAGAAGTTAAGTGTAGAGAGAGAGAGAGAGAGAGCTGAATCTAGGGTTTTGAAATCAAAAGAGATAAAAAAGTGAAGTGTTTACCCGTTACTGTCTACTGATATAACACAGGCTCGCTCGAGCGAAGGATTGGTCGCTCGAGCGACCAGACACAAAAAACCCTCGCTCGAGCGAAGAAAGGCTCGTTCGAGCCAACAATTCGAATCTTCAGGTCTGCAACCCAGAAGCACGTTCGAGCGAAGAAAAGCTCGCTTGAGCGAAGAACTCCAAAACATAGTTCTCGCTCGCTTGAGCGAAAGAAAGCTCGCTCGAGCCAAGGATTGCAACTCTCAGGTCTAAACCTAGACGCAGACGCACGCTCGAGCGAAGGACTTCTCGCTCGAGCCACCAGACACATCAACCAACTCTCGCTCGAGCGAAGGAAACCTGGCTCGAGCGAAGGATCTAAAACAAAGAGCTCGCTCGAGCGACAAAGTCCTCACTCGAGCGAAGACACCAAGACCTGGGCAGCAACCATTTGTTTGAAAACTCACCAAACCTGTTACAAACCTGCCCAACACATCCTATAACTCAACTATAAGGAATTAAATGACGGAAATGAAATAAATGCAACAACACTCAACCATGGAACTTAAGTCCAAAATACTGTACATAAAGGGAGAAACCCGGGATCACTATAAGATAAGTATTAGACCGAACAAGCCCAACCCAATCTCGTACCACGCCCAAGCCTAGCCTGCCTGACCGGACGGCGGCGGCGCACGCGTGTGGTTTTAATTTTAGGTCTAATGAGTCTAGCCCACTTCACCCATAATCTCACCCTTCCACAAACTTGGGTACCCTTTGGGGCCTATCCCAAGTATCCAATGTTAAGTTTTATAAACCCAAACAATTCCTCAAGCCTTTCCAATGTGGGACAAGCACATTTTACAAATGTGTAGTAAACCCACCAAAATACATTTCCACGAACCCAAAAATGTGAGTTGAATTTTCATTCATTCGGAAATGGTTTTGAGCAACCAAATACATGAATTTATTCACTACGCAGCATTAACACATGAACCCAATTAGAAACGCTAAAAATAACGCTTGGGTCCCACCTTAATTAATACTCAAAGTTAGCAAAAAATAAGGCTATAAAAAAGTCATTTTCCAACAAATCTCAGAGTATAAACACATGGTATTTCATAGTATTGTGATTGGTGGAAAAGGTGGGTAGGTGGGGTATTGTGTTGGGTGATTGAGAAACATGAGAGGGCAGAATAAATTATGATTGGTTAGGAGTATCGACATGTGGTATTCCGGGAATAGTTTATAATTTCTCGTCGGATACGAGAATGGCATTTTAAAAATTTGAAGAATTGTATCTTGAGAATGAAATGTGATTGAGAATTGAAAATCAAATGTTGGAATTGTGAATGTGAATGATTGAATTGTGTAATGATAATGGTGAATCCAGGGGAAGTATATAGTTGAAAATTTGATTAAATTAGGTTGAAACTTCATGGTGAAAGACCAAAAACTCACACGGTATAGATATTAATTTCCTTTCAACTAACAACTGATAAAGTGGGAGTGATTCTCAACTAGTAGATACACGACTTAGGGATACATCTGAAATTATCAATGAATTATATTATATCAAGAAACAAAAATGTTGTATTCATTAAATTTTACGAGATTGAAGTTATAACTTTGAATTGAAATCAGACTTGAAAATAATTGTATGTATATTGTATCACATCATGAATATGTGTGTTGTTGGATTCATATTACCAAAGTAGAAACATTATCTATTAGATGTTATGTTCATCCCTTGTTGTTTAAACTTTTGAGGTGATGATGTGCCATGACCTCGAGGAGCTGTGGATTGGTAGAAGTGTTGTGGCTCTTTTGTTTAGGATAGGCTTCCCTACATATTTCATCTTTCCATACTCTTCTTATAGGCTGAATTCTATACCTGCACTGGTAATTCAAATCGTTTACTTTGTAGACATCGTAATAAAGGTTATTCATACAAAAAATTAACTTCATTAGACAACTATAAACATATGAATAAATAGCATTTCATTTTAAAAAATGAATGGTTTAAGTTTACAATCGCATTTGTCATTCATTTAATAAAACAAAATGTGATTTTTTTTTCTTATGTTTATAAATGTTCGATGAAACTCGTGTTTTATATAGATGGCCTTTATTGTGAAACCTACGAGATAAACGATTCGGATCATTAATGTGAGTTTAGAATTGAGCCCAATAAAAGAAATATGAAAAAATATAGAGAAATAAGTTGTGGATGAGAGCTTATCCCCTTTTGTTGTGGCCCAGAGATTTTTTGTATGGCTTTTAGCCTTATTTACAAGGGATGAACCCTTTTTCTTGATGTACCCCATGGGCATCTCAATTGTAATAGACATGACATTATTTTTTGAAAAACATTTTAAAAAAAAAAACATTAGGGTTCAACCTTTATAACAAAATAAATATTAAGTTTTTAATTTTATTAATTTAAATTCTAATTTTTTTTATTTATTTTCAATTTAAATCATTCATCTATTTTTATTAAGTAAAACTGATAGAAAAATAAAATTTTAGTTATTAAACATAATATAGATGTACATAAAATATCTAAAATATTAATTTTTATTGAGTTTAATGATTAAAATATCACTTCCTGTCATTTTTATTTAACAAAAACAAACAAATAGTTCACAATGAAAACAAATCAAAAAATTAAAATTTATTTATTTACTTTGTGTGTAGTTTTTTTTTTTTTTTTTTTTTGAACAACAAAAAACGATGTTCTGAGGTGTCATCACTACATCTGTAGGCCCAGGCCCCGGGGTAGCCGGCAAATGTAGCCGGACTATTGTTTCAAATCTTGTTGTTTTGTCATTTTCTTTCTTTAATTGCTTATCATTGTCAAATTATTGTCTTTATATGGATCTCGAAAATTTATGTGTGTAGAAAAATTTAATTTCGTAATTTAATAAAAAAATTACTAGCATTGCAAAATATGAAGCTTTTATTTACGTCATAGATTTAACTTTTCGCACCTATTTTTTCACTTCACTAACTATAAATTTTTAAAATTTTTATCTCTTTACAACCCGTAGAATTCCTAATATACCTCCATCCTTAATCTTAAATCTTTTTTAAATCTATCCTCTTCCACTCTCTCTTCCATTTTGTCTCACTTTCACCACCCTAGATGAGAATGACAACTTGCTAGAAAAAGAAATTGAGCGTTTGGGAGTCAAGATGGGAAAAGGAGAAGGTAGTAGCAAGGAAGAGAACTATTTTTTAGTTTTTTTTTTTTTTTTTTTTTTGTTTTATGGGTTTACTGTTTTGATTAATCTAGTCAGAATTGAACAAACTTAATTTGTTTAGCAAATAAGGATCAAGCAAATCAAGTTTGGTGAATCATTGCTGCCAAATGGTCGAAAGTTGGTCAAACTAATTAAATTTGGCTTTAGTTGTCCAAACAATCTTAAAATTCGATGAACAATGGTCTAGTAATCTTATTTTATTGAGCAAATTAGTATAAAATAATGCAAAATTATTTGATGGTTCTCTAAGGGCACAATCACATGCCGTCTTAAATTGAATGTGATTCAAAAAAAAGGATGAGATCCACTTATTACTGTTAGTGACAAAAAATAAAAAAATAAGAGACATAACAATTGGTGATTGATTGGGATATATAATAACACCTAACAAATTTTCCTTCACAATAGGGCCACATGGGAGGGACAGGAAATTCTCATTTTAGTATATTAAGGAGAAGTTTTTGCAATGTCCATAACATCGAGTAGGTAGGATTTTGGACAACTTATTAGGAATTTTTTTTTTTTCAATGCTTATATCTTCATAATATATTTTTATATTTTAAGAAATTTTAGTATTTAGATATTTGATCTATCAAATCTTAATTCTCATATTTAAAATATTTTATGAATAATTTCACCATTATAAAAATTTTTTTAAATCCTTAACAATTTAATGATATAAACATTTATATTTGATAGTGTATATGTTCATATTAACGTGTGGATATTCACATCACGAAATATTGAACATTCATACTACACCCTATTATTATTAGAGATATTTTGATAACTATATCATTCATTAAACTTATTAAAATATATAAAAATAATTTAAATAAAATAAAATAAAATATAAATATATAAAAAGAAATTTATGAATAAATGTTCTTACAATTTTTTATTTCAATTTTTTTTTTGTCTTCTTAAAATTCAAGGTGGACCATCCATCCGTCCATCCATCAATGCATCAAAGGCGTCGGGCAAACCCTAAAACGTGGCTTCCATGCATGGATTGGTCCGGAGCAGCACACGTTGGGCCTAAGATTACATATTGGTTCTTAATTCCCTACCCTACTGCTACTACTACTACTTGATTGAGGTTGAGTTGAGAGACACAAACAAGCAGAAGAGAAAAGAGAGGAAAGCTCAATTGGCACTGGGTAGTAGAGATAATGTTCTACAGAGGGTATGTTCATGTCTCAGATTTACATATATTTGTATGTACTTATGTATATTTGCGTTTCTCTATGTATGTGTATGCATATTTTCTAAGATTTATTGTTATATTATAGATACCCAGAAGCCAAAATTGTAATTCTCTGTTAAATTTAATTGCTTTTATTTCTTAGGGGTTTGTGTTGGTCTGATACAAACCTTTATAAGCAATGAGAAACTCAAGTGTTTAGCATAAATCTTTGCATGGGTTGTGTGGTTTGTGATTGGCTTCTGTTGCGTTAATGGTTTTTGAGCGGTTAGCATTGGATGAGCCTTATGCGGGTTTGACATGGTGAAACATTGAGGTGTTTTAGGCTGAACTGTGAATTGTGAATTTGTTAGATATACCCAGAAGCCTTTCTTTGATTTCTTTTTGTTATTCTTTCCTTGTTTGATGTAGTTTTGATTTGAAGATGTATTAGGAAGAGGGTAAATAATTGGTTTTACATATTCCTTACCTGGCTAATTCAAGCAGATTATGTTGCTTTAATTGGATTGGAGTGGTTGAGCTTATGGCTTTGATGTTGGCTTGAAAGTGAATCATTCAATCTCTTACAAGAACTATTGTCTGAGTTTAATGAGGATAGACATAACCCATAATTTTCTCTCTCTCTCTGGTTGTTTTGTTCTGTTTTCTCTGATGAAGCATCTTGTTTAGATTTAAAAGTGCACTAGATAGATTAAAATGAAATATTTTACCGTGACTCTGACTCTAGCTCTGATGTAGGTTTCAAAATAAGAGTCATTCATACTTTCGTACAGGGTCTATAACTTATGAATTAAATGTGTGTGTATATATATTGATAAGAACGAATTAAGTTGAGATATTAAGAACCCATATTTTATTTCACTTACAAAGTTTTATTATTGATTCTATGTTCAGGAAAAGGATTTGAAATTAAAACTTTAGAGTTGTAACAGAGTAGAGTAATGTAGATTTTTGGAGATAGTTCTGACAAGTGATTGTTATTTGTGTTTCTTTTGTGGATTTATGGGTATGATGTAGATATGGAGATGTTGGCAATAGGTATGAAATGGGTCCAAAGCGGCAGCGGGTGATTGATCAGGGTTCTTCATATGGGACTTCTCCTGGTTCTGGTTTTATGTATAATCCTTCTCCTTATTTCTATATTGGCCAGCCACCTCCTTTCCCTGTTGTCCGACTTCAAGGCCTTCCATTTGACTGCTCGGAAGCTGATATTGAAGAGTTCTTCTATGGTCTTGACATAGTTGATGTTCTTTTTGTCCACAAGAATGGGAAGTTCACAGGGGAAGCTTACTGTGTTTTGGCATATCCTCTTCAAGTCAATTTTGCTCTTCAGAGGAATAGGCAGAACATTGGCAGGAGGTATGTCGAGGTTTTCAGAAGCAAAAGGAAGGAATACTATAAGGCCATAGCAAATGAAGTTTTAGAGTCACATGGTGGTTCACCTCACCAAAGTGTCTTTAGAGCAAAATCATTTGATAATGGAAAGGATTCAGCTGAACACACAGGGGTATTGCGATTGAGGGGATTGCCATTCTCAGCTGGCAAGGATGATATTATGGATTTCTTTAAGGATTTTGTACTTTCAGTAGACTCAATTCATATTACGGTTAATTCGGAAGGAAGGTCAACCGGGGAAGCTTTTGTGGGATTTGCAAATGCAGAAGATTCAAAAGCTGCAATGGCAAAGGATAGAAAGACACTTGGAAATCGCTATGTAGAGCTTTTCCCTTCATCGCATGAGGAGTTGGATGCAGCAATTTCGAGGGGCCGGTGACTATTTTTTAAATTTTCTTTATATAATTTTATTATTTTGATATTATATATTAGTTATTAATATTATGTTTAGCACTAGTATGATATTTGGATTTTGCTTTAGTAGTTTTAGTTTGACTTGGAAGTAGTAAACTTTTGATTTCTTGTTTACACGTCAAGATGTCTTTTGTTTAAGAAAAATTACTGAGCAGCTATGCCTTATATCTGAGACTGTATTCAAATTTTAGTTTATTTGTATCCAAATATTTAGCATCACAATCATCCCTGTTTGCATCACATTGTCCATAACTTTGCCAGCACATGTCCTTGTCACTGTTTTTAACATCCTGTCGCTGTCACTACTAGGAGTCTTGTACCATATTCACCACATCCATACCCATTCTATTACATCATGATTCCATTCCAACATGATCACTTTGTCACTGTAGCCACAAGCATTGATATCACTGACTGCTGTGAACAACTCACTGACTCTTCTTGCACTCAATCACCACAACTAGTGACGAAGAAGCTGGAGTTGAAAACTTGGTTTATTTTTCATTTAAATTGGTATTTCAGTAACTCTTGTAATTAGTTGAATTCCTTTTCCTTGAATGATTTTTGAAGCCTCAATCGCAATTTTTTTAGCTGACTGCTCCCCTATGAAATTTACATGAAAAAATAAGTTTTAAAACTATATATATAATTATGGCTAGAAAGAGGAAGGTAACAGAAGATTAGCGCTTTTGTTTTTGTCATTTGATAGAAAACTTTAATGAGCAAATATGAGATACTCAAGAGAGGAATTCTAGATTAGAAAAAAGAAAAATGTGATAATATAATTATGGCTATGGACTTAAAAATATGATAACTTTGACTTAAATTAATAGTTAATGAGTGATGGTTGATCGGTAGGTAGTAAATAAAGACAAATAACACAAAAAGTACTACATTGCTGGAACACTTGTGCTATTTTAGCACAATAAATACTGCACACAAGTGAAGCGGCTCGTAGCAAATCTGTATAAAGTGCACTTTTACGGTGCTAAAAATAGTACAAAGAAATACTACACCAATGGAGATGCTCTAATGCTCCATGTAAAATATAAATATAATATTATACAATAGAAAAACTCAATAGTGAAAGTTAACAAAGTTGGATTTTAAAATAGATTGAAAACTCTAAAGAGAATAAATAAATAAAAGAAAAAGTTAACTTTACATGTGTCATAAAATTAAATATATAGTTGCGTTCTGCAATGGTAATAAATAAAATAAAGAACAACTTTGGACACTTCAAAATAAAATAAAAGAGCTATATAATGCCGGAAGTTAAACGAAGAACGTGGAAAAACCATGAAAATAAACAGAAAAAAGGGTTGAAAGCTAAGAAGCACGGACACTTCTAAGAAGGTGATGTATCCATGTCGTGTCCGTGTCGGACACTGACACTCTTTGGACATTTCTTCGACACGTGTTCAACACTCTTCAAAATGTGTCCTATTTTTTAATATTTTTTAAACACCCGGACACTCTTTGGACACTTCGAGAACACACGTGTGTATCTCGTAAACACACGTGTCTATTGATTAGACACATGTGAAACTAATTATAAGTTTAAACAAAACAACTTTAGATACATATAAATTTATAGGAATTAGTATCATATTGCATTTTTTATTATCTTTGAATGATATATTCATCTATATATAACATATAATAAATATACAAAATTATATATTTCAAGCGTGTCGTGTCCTGCATTTTTTGAAAATTAACTTGTTGGCGTGTCTGTGTCGTATCTATGTCGTGTGTCTGTGCCCATGCTTCTTAGGTTGAAAGTCGTATCATGTTTCAGTATACAATTACTATAAAAAAAAAAAAGATGAGAGAAAAGCATAAATAGAGTAAAAGAAAAGGATTCTCCAAGAAACCAAAACAAAGAGAATCAAACGAATAAATAGATCGTAGGCTATTTTACTATATGTAGAAAAAGGGGAAAAAAAATTAGGAATGACAATCTGATATAATTTTGGCATTGTTAAAAGTGGAGGATCTAAGTTTCCCCTTGAGGAATTGGTTCTTAGTTGACAAGGACTTGTTTCTTATATCTATAATTAATTTACATTTTCCTATCTCTTACTCTGTTACGCATGACATGAAATGTGTTATTTTTTCTCCTTTAGGAGTTTATAAATTTGAAAAGGGTATAATATATTCATTTGTCAGATCCAACATTTCTTGTAAACGAAAATCTTCTGATGAGGGGAAGGATTTAGCTGAACAGCTGGCAAGGGTGACATTTTAGATTTCTTCAAAGATTTTGTGTTGTCGGAAGATGCGATTCACTTGACATTTAATTGGGATGGGAAGCTAACTGGTGAAGCATTTGTGGAGTTTGCTGGCATGGAGGATTCAAAAGAAGCAATGGCTAAGGATAGGATGACTCTTGGGAGTCGTTATATAGAGCTGTTTCCGTCATCATTCGAGGAGTTGATTGAAGCACTTTCAAGGGGACGGTGACTTTATTCATCCAAAAAAAAAAAAAAATTACTGACTTTACATTTTTGGCCTTTTAAGTTGCTATTTTATACTAATGATATTTTACTTGAGGTATAAAGATATTTTTTGGTGTGTTTAATTATTTGCCAAAACTTTGGAAGAAACTTATATTGCAAATTACTGCTTTAGAGTTGTCAATCTTGGTCAAATCAGATTATGACAGCCAACTTGTCACTTATGATGCTTGTATGTTGCTCAAGTTAGTATTGAAAAGCAATAATGGCTGCATTATCAGAGGATGATTTAGTCAGGATTGTACCTAAGGTTCCTTGGGAAATAGACTTGATATAAGCTTTTGCCTCTTCTAAAGGGTTTTTTGCTCAATTTTTTATTTTTTTTATTTTTTATTTTTGAATTTTTTGATTAATTTTTTGAGATATCAAGTAATCAAAACACTTGTATGTTTCATTTGCAATGCTGCTGGACTTTTTAAGGAATGTTGATTAACATCCACTGGAGTCTGCATATTATATATCTAGCATTGATGGTAAAAGTTCAGTTGTGTGTTTATGCATTGAAGTATTGTTACAACTACCTTGATGCTTTGTTGTTGTGGGGTATCTTCAGCACCTATGACCTTCAATGATGCACCCTGTTAACAAATCAAAATCTTATAGGTGTTATTATTGGTGTTTTTGGTCCCCGCTTCTTTAACTAAACGGGCCGGTCACTAACAATTTTTTTCTTTTTTACTGCTGAAGATTCCCTTGAAAGAAATGTTTGTGTTTTTGAACTTTTTATACCGTTTTTATAAGGATTACAGAATATTCAAATTCATAGCATTTATATTAGGACTAGAATATTCAAAATTATATTAGGACTAGAATATTCAAAATTATCAATGTATTTCCTATTTAGAATTTTTCGATCTTGGAAATAGGAGCCAACAATATATAAATATTTGTGTAATCTTTCAATGCAATTGATTTTAATTATGAGAATTTGAGATTTCATTTGGGTGATTTTGCTTAAAACTTACTAAACAATCATGTTTTATTTTCTGTCATTATTCAAGTTCATCTTTCCTCTAATAGTGACATTGGCTAAAACGTTTTCACTTTTTGTACTTTCATTAGTTTGGTTTTAGAGCTGAGGAATTCTACACTCTTTTCTTACCAGTTATTCAATTTATATGTTTACTTTTGCAATGGTAACTAACTTGGTAATGAATGGCAATGCATTTATTGACTTTTATGTCAGGTTTGGCTTGTGTTGATTGACTTTTAGGCCCCGTTTGGGGACTTACTTTTTTTAGTCAATTAGCCAAAAAGTTACTAAATTAGTCAAAAAGTCAACAACTCATACCAAAAAGTCAAAGATTCTTTTTTCTCTCTACTTTTTGCACATCTTTTCGTAATTAACCAAAAAGTCATTCCAAACATACAAGTTTTTTTTACCTACCATTTTAGCCAAATAGCCAAAAAGTTACTAAATTAGCCTGTTCCCAAACGAGGCCTTAGTTTGGGAAGAGGGGCTGACTTGGGTTTGGGAGTATTTTAGTCCCAAAAAAATAAAATAGGTTTTTTAGTCTAATAAGACAAAAATTACATCTAACTCATAATTATTACATTTTTTCTTTCACAAAAAGTCAAAAAATCTTTTCCAAACGAGGCTTTTTAGCCTCAGGTTAAAATAAATAAAAAGTCATAAAGTTAACCCACTTTCCAAACGAATCCTGGATATTGTCACAATTATTTCTTATATTTTTTATTATCATTCATGTTCCTTTTAGGAGGGTTTTCCCAAAATAAGCTAAAATACCAACCTATTTCCCAAACTAGGTCTAGTTTGGACGAATTTTTCAAAATAAGCTGAAACGCTATTACAAATCACGCTTTCACCGTTTTTGTGGCCCTGACGTGGAAAATTTGTGAAATCGTAAAAGCGTGGCCACAAAACACGCTTACAAACCACGCTTTTAAGGAAATCTGTTTTTGTGAAGAAAACGTGGTTAGAAACCACGCTTTTAAATAATATTGTTTTGTAACCAAAATATAAGACAAGTAGGGAGATAACTCAAATGGTAGTGCTCCTCCTTTTCATAGGAGAGGTATGGGGTTTAATCCCTCACATCTCCAAACTCTTGCTTTTTTTAAATTCAATTCAATTTTATTTTTTTTCCTTCCACTTACTCTATACTTTATATATTTATTATGTAATTTTTTTTTATCAAAAAAGTAAAACATTTGTTTGGTTAACTAATATTTATAATAAAAATTATATTTAAAATAAAAAATAAATTTTTTAAAATTTTAAAATATTAAAAAAAATTATTTTTTATTTTATGTGTTTGGTTACGATTTGAGTGTAAAGTTTTGAAAGTAGTGTAAAATTTCGAGTTATGTGGTTTTAATTTTGGGTCCAATAGGTCTAACCTACCCATAACCTCACCATTCCACAAACTTGGGTACCCTTTGGGGCCCATCCCAAGTATCCCAAGCTAAGGTATATAAACCCATTCAAAACCTCATGCCTTTCCAATGTGGGACAAGCACATTTCACAAATGTGTAGGAAACCCACCAAAAAACTAGTTTCAGTAACCCGAAAACGTGCGTTGAATTCTCATTCATCCAGAAATGGTTTTGAGCAACCAAATACATGAATTTATTCACTACGCGGCATTAAACATGAACCCACTTAGAAACGTTAAAAATAACGCTTGGATCCCACCTTAATTAATACTCAAAGTTAGCAAAAAATAAGATTATACCAAAGCTATTTTCCAACTGGTTAAACCATAGTTGTTTTGTGAAAATCACTTGATAAACTCTATAATTGTTGAGAAATTGAAAATGAGCTTACACCCTAGAAAATTTAAATTGTTGTTTTGAACATTGAGATTTGAAATTGGAAAGTGTCGGATACGGGATAATTATTCAGTAATCTTGTTAGAACCTACAAAGGTGTATGTGTGTAAATTAAATGTATAAAATAAATAAACAATAAAATAAAATAATTCAGAAAATAATTATATAAATTATTTTCCGAATTAAATGCTTACAGAAAATAATGTCGAGGCTTGTGTTGGACACAATCGCCTTAAAGTAGATTTTGCCCTCGCTCTGGTGCTTTGAGTTTTATCGGCGTCTACTTCCCAGGATGCAACGACTAACACTTAGGGCTGGTTTGGCATCATTAAAAAAATTCAAAAAGTCAAAAAGTCACTAAAAAATCCAAAAAATTCATACTATTTACCTATTTTTTGGCGAGAAATCTCTCAATTGAAAAAAACAAAACAAAACGGCGCTGCACAAAACTGTGCAACCACACATCCCAAGTGGTTTGAAAACGTGGCACACTTGTAGCCACACATGCCACAAAAAAAATAAAAAATAAAAAATAAATTTGAAAAGAGAGAGAAAGTGCACTGCGCAGTACTGCTGCTTGTGTCAGCAATGGGTAATTTCGTAATTTTATAATTTTATACAATATTTTAATACACATTTTTTTGTAAAAATTTAAAAAGTTAACCCAAACATCCATATTTTTTTCCTCTACTTTTTAGTCTAAAAAGACAAAAGTGCACTTATTTAGAACACCCCAAACAACCCCTTAAATTTGCAGCACTACAAATTTAAATCTGGCGAACCAAAACTCTATTGTAAACTCTCTCTTTTTCTTCCTAAAAATAAATGCAGAAACTGATGCAAGAGCACAGGAAGAACGGGAAAAGAATGATGGAAATCTGAGGGAAAAAATTGAATCAAATGAATTGTTAGAAGCATGCTTTATATAGATAGAAATTTGGCTGTTTCGAACAGGTGCCAACAGATAGGCAACTGTTCAGATAGATAGACAATTTGTTTGGACAGATTCGGTTGGAATGTAACGGGTAGAAACCTATTTGAACCTTTTGAACCAGTTTGGGTGGTATGGACCTGTAAGGGACTTGCTTGGGTGAAGAAAAATTTTAAACCAATTTATTTTGAATTTTGAAACCAAAATTAAAAACAAAAAATAATTTACAAAAGTTTTTAACCCAAAAAGATAAGTATTGGGTCGGACAAGCCCAACCCAATCTCGCACTATGCACCCACGCCTAAGCCTAGCCCGCCCGATCGACCGAACGAACTTTGGCAGCAGTGCGCGCGTGTGGTTTTAATTTGGGGTCCAATGGGTCTAGCCCACTTCACCCATAGCCTTACCCTTCCACAAACTTGGATACCCCTTGGGGCCCATCCCAAGTATCCAATGCTAAGGTTTATAAACCCAAACAATTCCTAAAGCCTTTCCAATGTGGAACAAGCACATTTCACAAATGTGTAGTAAACACACCAAAATACATTTTCACGAACCCAAAAATGTGTGTTGAATTCTCATTCATCCGGAAATAAGTTTTGAGCAACCAAATACATAAATTTATTCACTACGTAGCATTAAACATGAACCCAATTAGAAACGTTAAAAATAACGCTTGGGTCCCACCTTAATTAATGTTCAAAGTTAGCAAAAAATAAGGCTATACAAAAGCCATTTTCCAACAATCCTCCACATGAATGGAATTCACGATAACAGACATGCAACAAGATGCAGACAAAGAAAGAGTACATTAAGCTGATACACCACATCGAGATAGGTAGTTTTTGGCTTTGAACCTCCCCTAGTGAAAGCCTATCGGACTTACTAGTTAACCAATGGACGCGATGCCTTGAACTGTTCAGCAGTTTGTGTATGCCAAGACATAGTGTATCCGCAGATACAGTTTGGTTCTTACGGTTGTGTTCATTTTGGCCCTGAACAATGCTTGGTAATTCATAAGGGCTCTAGAGAATTTAGCCTTCTCAATTCTCACAGAACTGGCCCAGTTCACACTCATATAGATGATTTCTTATTAAGAGTATCCTTCTATACCCCACTTGAATGTCCAAGCTATAATAATTATTAAAAGCAAAACTTATCCTACTATCACTGCAGGTATCACTCTTCTTATCATAGAAATGGGTAGGAGTAAACTTCCTTAGTGATATGTGAAGTCATCCATAATTCAGTTGTCCCTTTGAACCTAGATCTTGGGATCTCTAGTTAACTAGGTTGGGTTGCCATTATGGCGACTTATAAGTAATAGGCTTTAATCCCATTCCGCTCAATAAATAGTACACTTGCTCTATGGCTAGCCCTTTAGCCAATGGATCCGCAATATTCTCCTTTGATTTTATATATTTTATGGAAATTGTTTCATGTGAGAGCAAATGCCTGACGGTATTATGTCTTTGACAGATGTGTCGAGACTTACTGTTATACATATGATTTTGTGCCCATCCTATTGCTGCTTCACTATCACAGTGAATGCATATAGCTGGCACAAGTTTAGGCCACATTGAAA